TCAAGTCAGTCGTTTAGCTTGCACGCGTCGTCAAAGTCCGAGTCTTGGGTCCCGAAAACCCTCGATTTCATTATTTTTTTGATGTTGCGCCGGTGATTTTTTTTCGTCATTTAAAATAGAATTAAAAGTCCCCCAAAAATCACACATTATCTGAGATCTACAAAGAATACTTTTCATGATGTAACCGATTTTTTAGACCCTTTTTCTTTAGTTTGTAGCTATGTAAGCAAAAAATTTTGGTGTAAAACAAACGTTATCCGACCTGTGTGCAATATTGGATAACTTTGCGCGTCAATAAAAAAATCAGCGTTTGTCGTACGAAAAAAATACAAGGGTTTTTTTGTTGCATTTCGTCCACAAGATGCATACGATAAAATTCGTCTCAAATAAATTCTAAGGCTTGAAAACATCGAAAAACTAAGACTATTCCAATCAAAATTTTTTGCTTACATAGCTACAAACTAAAGAAAAAGGGTTTAAAAAATCGGTTACATCATGAAAAGTATTCTTTGTAGTTCTCAGATGATGTGTGATTTTTGGGAGATTTTTAATTCCATTTTAAATGACGGAAAAAATCACCGGCGCAACATTTAAAAAACGATGAATCGAGGGTTTTCGGGATCCAAGTCTCGGACTTTGACGGCGCGTGCAAGCTAAACGACTGACTTGACGATAAATGTTGTTCAGATCATTATTGTAGATAATTGTACGCTCTACAAAAAAAGTACGTATAGTTAGTTACCTTATCTTGCTTAGTTTTCGAGATATTTAAAAAAAATAAAAAAAAATCGCGTTTTTTGTTGATAATATTGTTAATAACTTTTTAATGCGTGTTAATTTTGCGAAGCAAAATAAATCCCACTTATAGCACCTCAAATCAAATTCATGATGGTTGCAACCTGGAAAGATTAATTGAAAGATTAACTCCCTAAATTAGTCTAATATGACTGGCCTATTATCTCATTTTCTCTTTCTGTTTCTCTTGCTTTTGACAAGAAATAACGAACCAACCAAAAGTTGCTATCATATGGTCGGACTTATATTATAGGGTCTTTAATGTATAGTATGTGCGATCGCTTTTCTTTTACATTGTTAAGGATTAAACATATTCTCGATGTAATCGGGTCGCGAGACTGACTGCTAGCTACGTGCCTGCCGTCAGTCTTGTGGCCCGGATTCGATCCGTACAGGGTTGTCGATCACGCCGTCTCGCGTGGTCGATCACGCGTCGATGCCGCTCCACGTACAGGTGCGCGCATGCCGGCATTGTCGAGAATCGGAGCACGGCGCAACTCCTGACACGCGCAGTGTCTTTGTTCGCGAAAATTGTGCCCACAGCGCAACGCCGTCAATCATCGGATCAATCAGAGAGTGCCGCGTTCCGGATCTCGCCTTCGTTTCCGTCCCTCGAGAACCCTCCCGGCGGAAGAGAACGATCGCGAGACAAACTCGTTTCGCACGTCTCCGAATCAAGTGATCTTGGCATAACGGCATTCTCTGTGCGTGGTTTCTCCACCGATTCGTGCGCGGTATCGCCGCCCGATCACCTCAGCAAATGCGAGAGTGCCAAGACACTGTACATTCTCTACGAGAGTGACCATCGAGCTCATAAAGTGAGCTCGCCCCGAATCGCGGTCGTCGTGTCGCGTTCGCGCTCGTAGTCTGCCCCGCGGACAAGATTTCCTTCGTTCGACAGCAAGATTTTCGTCGTAAGTCTAGACAGCACGTATGTCTAAAAGACGTCGTAGACATCTTTTAGACACACGTGTCTAAAAGACATCTTTTATAGACATTTTTTAGACATGCGTGCTATCTGGGAGGGCATCAAGTCGATGCTCGGCAAGATCTCCGTCTCGCGTTTGCGGCAGACGACCGACGCCTCAAGATTTCCAAGCGATTCGAACCACGACAGTGTCCGTGAAATTTACCTCGAGTTTCCGGTGCAAATCTATACCGGTTGTGTAAGTCGTTCTCTCATCCGCAGCCCTACCCTCGTTTCGCACTTTTTCTAAGTAGTGCCGCACAGTGGGGCGAATCTGTCAAAAACCGGATATTGAACGAAAAAATGAAAAACGTATAATTCAAATTTTGACGAGATTTTATGTTAATATATACACTAAACTATAAATAAATGTAGTTATAATTGATTTTATCCTTTGTTATTTCCTCAAAATGATCTGATAAAGTATGACATTTTCGTGAATACTGAAATTCTAGTAATTCGCTAGGTTACCTTCTAAAGTCTCCGCCGAAAGTATAACTGCAAATATGAGTTAAATGCCTATCAGAACTTATTTATTAGGGTTCAAAAAACATATTTATTTTAGTTTTATGTCATTTGAGTACTATTATATATTAATAAATATACACGACATATTCGACTATTAAAAATTTCTTACTTTAATTTTCAAACAGGAAAAAAGTTTGTGGATTAGAATGGATTAAAGTTTGCATTGCGCCATTTGATAGGGCAAAGTGCCTAGTTTTTGGCCATATATGATCATTCATCCCCCTTCGACCCTCTTTTTGAGATAATTGACCTCAAAGTTCATTCGACATAGTCGAACGTCGTCCATGAATAGCTCAAATTTGATCATGTCGAGTGAATATGGATGTCTATTTTTTCATAAAAGAAAGACGAAGGGAGATATATAATTTGTTTAAATATTGCTATTTTATAACGATTAATTACATCCATATTTTATAACAATTAATTACATTAATTAATATAATAGCAATATGATAAATATTATTGGATAAATGTATTTGGAGTATTGCGCATTCTGTAAATCCATGGACCAATAAGATTGCTCTACGTTAAATTATTCGTTCTCCTCGAGGAGGGAGGGGGTGAGGAAGGGAGGGAGGGGAAAGGAGGGGAAAAAGGGGGAGAAAATAAATACAGCGGAGATAAGAACTTTTCGTCAGTCTTTCTCGATCAGTAGTCGATTAAAGACTTTGATTTTGAAAATTTTGATTTTTGTCGTTGCTTTATACAATTCACTTTGCGTCCTTTTCAGGGTACAGTGAAAAATATATAAAATATATAAAATATATAGAAGATTACACTTTAACACGCTCGCAAAATGGAAAATTTCCGAACAAATCGTCAACTTTTTAATTGTATGCGTGCAAATAATCTTGATTTATCAAATTATGAGGCTTTAATAAGCCACATAATATCATGTATTGATACTGAATTACCTAAAATTGCGTTAGAACCATTAAAACAAAAAATCATAAATTTCACAAAGAATTTGAAATTAAAATGGATAGCTAGCCGTTACGATTACAATTACATTACAATTACGATTACATTGCTGGATTCGCTGTTTTGAATGCTTATTACATATTTCGTATAAAATTAATATCAAATGTTGGTCAGCGAGGAATGAGAGTCATAAACGAGAAGTCGAGCTGGTCGATGGCCCTAAAAAAAAAAGAGAGATACAGACTGCCTTCAGATCAAAAGCAGGTCTCTTGATAGACTTCGTGCAACAAGGAAAAGGTACATCCAATGATGGCAACACGGCCAGAAAATTTTTTGCTAATCCAGAATTATCAGCTGCCATTACAGGTTTAGATAAGAACTTAATAACTCGATTTGAAGTTTTGTTGCAAGTAATCGCTAGCGGGAATAGAATTAACGTGTCGGAATTCGAATCTTATGCTTTTAGAACTGCCGAATTATTTGTATCATTATACCCATGGTACTACATGTCAGTCTCAGTCCACAAATTATTGATTCATGGCAGTAATATTATAAAAAATGCTATCATACCAATAGGACAATTATCTGAAAATGCTCAGGAAGCAAACCATAAATATTTTAAAAAATATAGAGAAAATTATTCGCAAAAAATGTCGCGAATACAAAATAATGAAGATATTTTTAATAATTTGATAATTGCTTCAGATCCAATAATATCTAATTCGCGAAAAATTATGGGACATAAAAAGAAAGAATTAACTGAAAATGCAAAATGTTTATTATATTTCAGCGATAATGATGTAGATGATGATTAAGTTCAAGAAATAGATGTGAGAAGCAAGAAAAACAGTTCCTTTTCTATTATAAAACTCACAAAAATTAAACATCCCGAGGTTTAAGACTATCATTGAAAATCAAATTAACTTTATTTTTTAACCGACTTCAAAAAATGGAGGTTCTATATTCGGCGTGTATGTATGTATGTATGACTACGATTTTCTTTAAAACTACTGAACGGATTTAAATGCGGTTTTCACTGTCCTATAGAGCAATTCTCCAGAAAGGTTTTAGTACATAAAATATCGCGCTAAAACATCAGGGTACGGAGCAGTAAGGAAATATCCAATAATAGTTATTCATATTAATTTAATGAAGCACTAAAAAAGTATAAAATAAAAAATTTTTTTAAAAATAGAACCGACTTTAAAAAAGTATTTAAAAAATTATAGAGACTTTAAAAAATAAAAAAATTATCTATGCGCTTTATGAAAAATTGTTGATTAAATAATTTTGATTTTATACACTAAATGTATAATAATCGTACATTATTTATGTCAAGTTTCAAGTCATTTCATTGAAAAATGTAGAAGTTATAAGCAAATGACCGAAAAATGAGGCGTTCGCCCCACTGTGTGCCGGCATAAATCGCGCTCTGCGGAATCTCCTGTCGAGCATGAAACATACATTATATCAATAATTTACTTTCAGGAATGGAAAACATAAAAATTAAAAGAGAGATCAGACAATAATCTTATAATACAAAAAAAACTTGATGCGTTAAACAGTGTGGCATTGACCTTTGAAAATAGCAAAAGCGTAAATAAATTCGTTACAAAAAACCCGCAAGAAGAAACATCTGATTTAGAAATACAAATCGATGAAAACGAACTTTTAAATAAAGTGGATATTTGCTATACAAAAATAAAAACTTTGGAAGCAGAGAATAAAAAATTACAGAATGTTATAAAAGAAAGAGAACAAGAACTAAAAGAAAAAAATTTTGAGTTGCACAAGTTAAAAGAAAAACTAAACTATATGGAAATGTGCAATAATAAACAATCACCAACATGTACTATAAAGTCGCCGCGTGAATCTGCAACCAGCAGGAAATTATTCTCTCAAAGTAAGTAAACTTTCAAAGGGGTTATTATATAAATAATGTAACATATATTTGTTATTGAATAGTTAATATACTTTTAATTGGAAACATCTAAATGAATTTTAAGAGGATTTGTATCTATCTTTAATATTCGCCTTTACTGATCTTGGTAATATATTTGGGAAAATAGACTTTTTATAAGAAAAATTTCGTACTGATATACATTTTCACTTTATATACAAAAACTGTTATACTTAATAATTCCAATATAAATTGTTTATAATAAAAGGATTATGCGTACATATTAAAAAATATTAATTTTTATTAATTATGAAAATATATTTTTTAAATATTTCTTTATGTAGCAAATAAGACACATTTTGCTTCTCCATCAATAACACTGCAAGTTTCTCCAATATTGAGCTCGTGCAGACATTCGGCATTGAGAAAAATAAAAATAAAATATGACGATGTAGTGGACGACGAGGATTGTCGAGTGACTGACAATGAGCCACCAGCCAAGATTGTTCCAAAAGAATCTAATGACGTTGCAGTATTCAACGAAAGTCAAGCGAGTGATGAAAAAAGAAAAAGTAAAAAATCGAAAAAAGATAAATTAAAAATAGAAGATCGAAAATGTAATAAAAATGATATATATGATTCCGATGAATATAACAGGTCGGCAAATCGAATGGAAAATTTTACTGCGTGGACTGATGATTCTAAAGATGGAATAAAAGTAAGTAATGGACAATTGATAATTTCATTAGGTATCTGATTATAGATTTGAGGTCTTTTAAAGATTTAAACAATAAATTTAATATAATCTGTTTCTCATCTATGAAGAAATCAGTTGTTAAGTTGGCAAAAAAATTATTTATCTTTTATAATCATATATTGTTTCATCCTTTTACATTTTATAAAAGATTAATGTTGGTGTACGGATCTACGTTAGTATTAAGTATTAACTTGTATACTATTTCTAAAAAGAAAATGTTTATGCATGTTGACTCTCAGGTAAAAATGATGCATTTACGCTACGGAGTTTCAATACCTTATAATGCGTGGAAAGAAGCACGAGACCAGAAGACAGCTTCCCTGTTTGTGAGAAAAATATCTAAGGCTATATGGGGATGTCATACCTTGATGAATCGTGCTGTGGAACTCCAAAAAATAAATAAAGAACGTTTGGTTCATCGTTCCCCTAGAAAACCGCTGACGCCAAAAAAGAAGGCCGTTTTAGAAAATGAGTTTACGTCAAAAAATAGAATATAAATAAAAAAAATTTAATAAATGTATTTTTTTTATTTCAAAATTTCATTATTTACAACTGCACAATCAGCTGCCTCAAAATATATCTTTTGAAGAACGAAAAGTACTCTCAAAGAAATGGCGAAGATATTTGAGTGTATACATTAATTACTTAATTACGAGTGAATTAGAAAAACTGAAAGGTGCGTATATTTTATATTTAAAATATTATTCATAATTTTAAAATGTCAATCATGTTACTATCGTACATATATTTGCAGAGACAAAGAAAGAAGAGGCTGAAGGACAGGACAGTATGTATGTACATCCAACTCGTCGAGTTAAAGAATTATGAAGATATTAGTTTCTATTGTAAGTAATGCATTAGGAATATCTATTACTTTTTTCGTCGATGTATTATTATTATTGAAAATATGTTCTATATTTTCTATATTACATATTGTATAATCTTTTCTACTTAACGGAACGATTATAAAATCTATTATTCGGATAAAACTTTCTTCCTTTGTAAAAGCAAAATAATTTGAGCGGAGCTTATTTTTTCTGGACGATGTATGTAGACAACGCTCTTTAACAATTTTATGATACACCCTACTTTCATGTGATAAGCCAAGTTCTTGAATCCATCTTAAATTTGTTGGATAGTTTGTTCCAAAGTATCTTGCATGAAATATTTTGAAGGTTGTTTTGGCATGTTTTTTGTCAAGATAGGATATAAATTACTGATCATTGAAAACGGTCTTAGTGCTACGTGTTCTTTCAGAATTAATTGACTTTGATTCATAGCAATTGTCCTACATATCTGATGAATAACTCCCTTAGCAGCTTGGACTTTCTTTACGATTTGACCATTACCACTTTCGAAGCAATATCCAGAGTGAATCCATTTTAAAGTTGGATAGTTTGTTCCAAACTATCCAACAAATTTAAGATGGATTCAAGAACTTGCAATAGAAACTAATACGATTGAAAGGGTTTGCGTTTTTATTGATATTAATAATGCGATGTATATTTGTGCAGTGCCAAATTTGTTTTTTTATTAATAACATTTTTTTTCATATACGCAATTATTGTCTTAATTCTCATGTTTTAACATTGAAATACAACCGATATACAAGTACAATTGTAT